GTGCAGGGTTTTGAGAATGTATGTGTGGTATTGTTAGCTTTTCAAAATGAGAGAAAGAGAGATCTTATTTATAGTGTGAATGAGGCAGGAGTGATGATGTGGCAATCCATGTGAATTTATGAGAACGATTATTGATCATTGATAAGTCCAAGTTGATAATCCATGTGAAATATGAGAATGATTTTTTATCATTGATAAATCCAAATTAACAATCCATATGAAGTATTTGTATACATTATAGTGGTCTCAGCTTGCTATTTTTCCCTTTTTGGACATGAAGACAACCAAAATAAAACTAATAAGAATAAGAATATTAATAAGAAAAAGGAAAAAAATTAGTAACAATAATAATACAAAAAGGATTACACTAAAAACAAAAGTGAAAGTAAAAAGAAAAGATTTAAATTGCAAAATAATATTAATCATATATATATTTTTGAATTAAAATATAAATAAAGTAAAAAATGATATGAACTAACCAACCAACCAACCAACTAACTAACTAACTAACTAACTATATATATATATATATATATATATATATATATATATATATATATATATATATATATATATATATATATATATATATATATATATATATATATATATATATATATATATATATATATATATATATATATATATACACATATAATATTTTTTGAATAAAAGAAATAAAATTGCAAATAAAGTAGAATGATGCTAAATGTATTTTTTGTAATTTTTTAATAGAAAAGAAATCATGAACAAAACACAATCGAAATCAAATTTCGTCAAATTCAAAAAACGACTTCTAACGTTTCCTATTTTTTTGTGGCTTTTAAAACATAATCGGCTCTTCACTTATAAAGAAAAGTTGTAGATGACGTCAAGGGCAATCATATGTAAAAAGAACCGCTCAAAAATATTGAAATTATTAGAAGTTATGAATTTTTTAAATTTGACTCGAGAACTTGCAAAAATAGGTCAAACCACTCGTGAACACTTGTTATGCAATGATGCAGATGGAATGTAGGATCTTTGGTAAAAAAAATTAGCGTATGGCACCGGCCTATGAAACCTATCTATATCATCACAGCCAAACACACTTTCCCTTTGATTCTCATGGTCAAACCATTATCAACCGATGCCTCAAGAACCAAAGATTTTCCTCCAGGGATAACTATATCCTCTTCCCCTTCACAACTCAAACAGTATGCCAGAAATAATATTTTTTTATTACATGACAAAAATCATAAGGAATAAACTCCTTGGTCATACTCCTTATTTCCCAGGCACATCATTTCTCCTACCAATTCTAATAAACCCTAATGTTAAATTCACAAAAAAAACATTTTTGGTACATCTAGTGTGCCATCATTTTGTATTTTATGTCTATTCTCATACCCACCAAAGCCATGGATGAACACCTAATAGATCTCAAGAACCATAAATCCTTCATTTGGACTATTCTCGAATGTTATTCTCCATTAACATGATGGAGAAATCAATTAAAACCAGTTTTATATGAGGTCAAAGAAAGAGGATTAGCCTTATAAGTTATTGGCAAATTCAAGACGGTTTCCTTTATGCACATGCCTTATCAAGTAGATCCTGCCACTAAGTTACTTGGTTGTTAGATTTATGTTCATGTGCCAGAAACTATTGATGATTATCCTCTTAGTCTAAAAGTTACAAGAGAATTACTGGAGTATGTTAACTTCGTCAACCTCCATGAACCAAAAAAGATGGATGACAATTCCACTTGCAAAACTCATCAACCGTTTAAAAACCTAGAAGTTGGAGAAAGCTCAGTCAAGCCACACAGCAGAAACTAGATTCTCCAATGGGAGCTGAATTCTTATAAGGACGTGTGGAATTCTCAGGACACGTGTAAGAAATTCATAGAAAAATAACAGGCCATGCTTACATGATGGATGACATATGGGAGAGTGAGCCATCTAAATTTGGAGATTGCTTCTCTGATGGAAACTTATCCGATCAGAATATGTCCCCATCACATGAGCCCGTCTGCAAGGGAAGGGGATGATGTAACAGATATCCACTTTGTATAATAAGTGAGATTGTAAATAGTGTTTTTCTTGTTCTCTTTTGAAAAGTAGTCAAAAGTATGTTTGTCACTTTATAAATCATATCAATAATGTTTGATTTACTGTTGGATTTTCTGTCCTTTATGTTTCTCCCTAACTATATAAGGGGATAGCTTGTATCGTATTTCCTCAGAAGTAAATGAAATAAATTCTCGTGTGCTTAAGTCTTAAACATTTTCTAAAAATTTATGTTCCCCCCCCCCCCCCCCCCCCCCTAAAGCTTTAGTTCTCATATTCTCGCCATATATACCACATTAAGATGCAAGTATACTCTGCACTTGCCTCAGAAATAAGGATCATGTGTATCAGAAAAATCAGACCAAAGATCCATGCTACGGTTCTTGCTATTATGAAATGACAATTTTAATTGTATCTGGTGCGCCTTGTAAGTCCAAAGTGTTGGCTGTAAAAGTGCTATATGATAATATTGAGATTAGTTTCATGATATGTGAGGCTCCCAACAAGCGTGGTTTCAGAGCCTCGCCCAATAGAGAGGCTGCATATAGTAAGAGAGACAATTTCTACATATTGACCACAATGTTAAAATATTTTAATTTAGACAAAAAGTCTATTAATTTTGTTTTAATCACATGCATATTTTTTTTCTTCTAAATTGAGGTTATAGATTTTTAGTTTAAAAAATTAAGGTTAAAGATTAATATTAAAATAAAGTTTACAAAGTACATTATAGAGTAGGAAAAAAATTCTATAAAAAGATGGGTGTGTAGTCCATCATGTCTCCACTTTTTGGATAAAAACTCTTGAAACAAAAAAAAAAACCGACTCTATCCATTTACTCAAATAATGGGCTACACGTTTTGGGCCTCTCAGTGAGTGATTTTACTCGACACTCTTACAGTTGTTTCTTACACCTCACATACTTTGATTATATAAAAAATATTCTTTTCATTTTTTATCTTTCACGAAATTTTTTGGTAGTTATAACTAAAAATTTGATAAAAATAATTTGTTATTTATATATATTTTTTAAATTTAATAAAATGTATAAATTTCATACAGATAACATATTTTTAAAGCAAATCCCACAATTAAAAATCAAACACTTAAAATAGTATTAAATGAATGATTTTTATTGAATTTTTAAAAAATCCGATAAAAATGTATAAAATTATCGAATATTTTGAAAAATTGAAAATTTTGATAACAACACATAAAATTAAAATTAAGTACAAATCAATTAAAACTTATGTAAAATTGCATAAAATGTAGGTTTGTGTTCATAACCGAACCAATAGAAAATCGTAAATTAAATCGAACTGAATCGAATAAAAAATTGCATAAAATCACATTTGATTCGAATGTGTTTGGACTATCTTTTAACCAAAATGTACGGTTCGGTTCAATTTACGGTTTATATTTTACAAACCGAATCAAACCGAATCAAACCGCAATATGTTACAACTTAAACTTCACTTAATCCACATTCAACCTAAATCAAATCTATTATGCCTTAGTTTTACTATTACAAACGATTTTCTCTTACTCACACACTTAGGCCTTCTCAAATCTCTCTTAGCAGTTTCACACCTTATTTATTAAGTACATCTCACTTTTTCTTTGTTAATCTCTATTCTATTATATTCTTTATTTTTTATTTTCACATTTTTATGCTATCGTTCTCTCTTTCAATTTCTTTTTTATTACACTTCTTCTTCTATAATCTATCATCTCTTATGTTCTTTCTTTTTCATCTTCACTAATCTCTCATCTCGTCTATTTTTTTTGTTTCATATATTATTTTATGCTTTTGTTTCATGTTTATTATTTCACTTTTATCTAATCTGATTTTTATATATTAAATGAGAAGTTGTTGTCCAAATAAGATGAGTTTTATTGTTATTTAGTAATGTGTGAATGACTAAACAGAGAGTTATATTATCCTCTATATGTATATGTATGTCTCAATAATTTTTTTGTAATAAACCGAACCAATCGAACCGAATCAAACCGCATTGATTTGATTCAGTTTTATTTTTAAGAGCTAACCGAATCAAACTAAACCACATACTTTTTTCTTGCGGTTCAGATGATTTTTTAGTTCAAAACCGCTCAAATTGCATCGCAAACACACCTAATAAAATACATATAGTTTCAAATTCACAAATAAATTATTTCTACAGCAAATTTTACAAAAAATTACGCAAGTAAAAACTGATCAAACCCTTCAAATACTATAAAATATATATATTCTTTTATCGAATTTTACCAATAATTTTACCATAATATCTCCAATATCATATTTTTATAGAATTTTTCAAAAATCTTAGATTTTTATCGACAATTTTGATGGGTTACTGGATATTTAATAAAAATCATGTTTTTATCAATTTTTTTAAAATTGTCGATATCATACTGATAATTTAGAAATATCTAATAAAATTTAAATTTTGTTTGCATTTTTATCGGAAAATTAAAAATATACGATATATTTATATGAGTTTTTTTAGAAATTTTAAAATTTCCGATAAAATTATATACATGCATACCAACAATCTTGAAATTTTCAATAAAAATGTAAACAAAATTTTAGATTTTACAAACATTTCTAAATTGTCGGTATTGGTATTGACAATTTCAAAAATTTGGTAAAAATTATGATTTTACTAAATAGAGGCATTACCGAAATTTTAGAATTGCTATGCAGGGGTGTGATAGATCAATTATTTTTAATTTTTTTTATGCAGGGGTGCAAACGTTCGGAAAAAAATTACCATAGAAAAGGATAATTCAGTTTTGAATAATTTGCTACATAATTGTAAAGACAATAATACGCTTCAAAACAAAAAACTTTGAAGCTTCATTCATAAGTCATAACTCATGAAAAAAGTTAAATGACCAATCCGAAAAAATATCAAATATTAAAAAACCTAAGCAAAATGTTAGGCTTCAACATGAACAAAATTTATGGTTGCATGACAAAGCAGACGTGTGCTGAAGCTGAATGCAAGGACGTGGCCTTCTTAATTCATAATCCATTGAAGCAGAAGCCTTATCCAATACAGAACTAAGTGCATGATGAACATTACTTGCAATAACTTGACATAACTCAACATCATAAATATCCACTTTACAACATGTGTACACAAATTCATTCTTAACCCTGTCTCCCAAAGTTGACAATTCTGCCCTCACCAATTCCAGTTGAAGTGTATCAAGAGTTTGCTTTAGATCATATAGAAGGTCTGGTCCGTAGTCACAACAGATTGATGCTTTGTAAAGAATTGATCCATCTACTCCACCATTTTCACATGGTTCAATTTCAACTTTCACTTCATCACTATCTTTTGGAATTAGATAACCTTTGCTTTCTTCATCTGAATTCTTTTTCAGTTCCTTAACTTGCCTAATAACCTCGGCTAGTAAGGTCGCTTTCTCCATCTATAACAGTATTATTAGCTACACCATTAAAAATATTCAAGTGCAGATACTAACACTGATATTATAAATCACACTTGTATATGATTTAAAGATCATCTTATCTATTAATTTGTGACGCTTGTGAAAGATACAGAGTCTCGTATCAAATAATATATGACCTGAACACTTAGTTATAAATGAATTTCAAATTTCAAATTAAAATTACAAATGTATCAATGTGTGTCATTGTTTTTCTAAAATTATTTTCTAGAACTTATTAGGAAAGTAATTAGTAAATTAATAGTTATAGTATAACTGCATAAACTATTTGAATAGCCTATCCAACTGTTGACAGCTATCAATAAATAAATAAAAAAAGATTTGTTGAGTGCCTGAATATTCAGCCAGTGATGTGGAGTGTGAGCCCACAACTAAGAATAATTTGTTAACATATATGTTTTTTAATCAATTATTATATATTTATATTGAATAATAAATAAAATGATAGTCTCTGATTTAGACAATATACCTTTGGAGAACATGATACAAGTCCTCGAAGTTTTGCAAGATGACCATTAATTCTGTTTCTTCTTCTCCTCTCTGCATCCCTATGACTCTTCAAAGCTACCAAAGTTTTTTTAGCATCACAAATCTTTTTCTCACCACTTATTGGATTTGGAGGGGGCTTCACTAGTTCTTCTTTCTCACTATCCAAAACCAGTGAGTTTATTGATACAAATTCGCCTCTTGAAATCCCATTTAAAGCATCAAATCTATAGGAAGCCGTATTGAATAGTACCCTCGAAATATCAGAGTCAGAATCCATTGAAATTTAAGTAAATGAACTTTAGAAAGAAAAAAAACACTCAAAAGAGACTTTAGGTGGATAGTTCATATGCTTAGTGCAATTGTAAAGAGCATATGATGAATGATACTTATAGTGTAAGTTTTCACGGTCAACGTATATGTAGGATTCCATAGTAATATTGCTGGAAATAGTTATTGATAGCTTAGTTTCAAACATAATATTTATTTATCTATTTCTACTGTAATCCAAGTCAGCAGAATCATATGTGGTAGGAGTGTCCATTGATTCGAATAAATCTGAACTAAATCGGAATCCAATCTAACCAAATTGTTTGGATCGTATATTTTTTGTTCGGGCAAAAATCGAACCAAAAATCAATGAAACCCAATGTTAATGGGTTCGAGCAACGGATTCAAAAATTCTACCAACGAGCTCGTCTACCCGAACCAACCATATTAATTCATATAATTTATATCATCATTATTATGGAAACTAGTATAAAATATTAATTTCGAGAAGAAAAAAAAGAAATGTCATTTGTGATATTCACAATCTATATGGAGAAACGGAAAAAATAAGAATTTTATATTATTATAAAAAATTAATTGATATAAATTAGATTTTTTTAAAAATATTTTTGCACATTTATTTCTAATGCATCCGATCAATCCGACTCAAACCAACCCGTTATTTTTTGGTTTGGTTTGGTTTGGATTTTATCGTAAAAAATATAAAAATTCAATCCAAATCAATCCATATAATTTTGATTGGTTTGGGTATCGGGTTCTCTCAAAACCGAAACAAATCGCCCGGCGAACAATCCTAATGTGTGGTCCTCAATTTTATACACATGTAGAAAACTCGATACGTGATAATAACCCAAATCAATATATATATATATATATATATATATATATATATATATATATATATATATATATATATATATATATATATATATAACATGTAGTGGAGTTGATCGAAAACAAGGTAGCTGGGTTTATTATGGTGGTCTTGAACTTTCGATGTGGCGGAGAGTGAAAAAGGGTGTGAGAATGAGAATGAAATTTAAATACCTTAGAAATGACATATTGTCCTTGTTAAATAGGTGAAACAATTGATAGCTGAAAGCGTGAGGTGAGGCGTGAATCACAGTCAGTCGTCACATTGATTTCGCAGTCAACTGGGTACTCAAGCGCAAAGTTGCCTTCTTAGAGAGGGAAAAAAGTCTACTTGTTATGCCCTTGAGTCCTTTCACATCACCATTGGGCCTTTGTCATTGGACCCTGTGGGCGGCCTAGAACAGGTGCCCCCTCGAGCCCTTGTTTTTGCTTTGCATAGTGAGGGTTTATGACACGTGCACTTACTCGACCACAAAATCCATGGATTTGGAAGTCTTTGATAGGACGTCGTTATCCTTTGGAATATGTGCATTAAATTCCTTTCTTGCAAGAGGTAACATTTTGTTGGAAGCGATTGACATGTCTCATTACACTAGTTTGTGATGATGTTTCCTCTTCTTTAGAGAGCTTGAGCGCTTTCGAATAATATTTAGAAGATCTCAATTGTCTGTGGTGTGTAGTGGATCTTATGATCTTCAGTGGATGAATAGGGTATAAAAGGCATTTAAAGCGTCATTTTACCTTTTCTAATATTAACGACTAGTAAAAGAGTTCTTTCCGCTTCCTTTGTCTTTTTTCTCTGCGAATGTTGTCATTCTAGCATTTGGTCAAATTCATACCATCTGGTTCTTTGAAGCTTCTCATGCATGCTTGATTGATCCCTCTTCTAAGATAAAGTTTAACTTTTCCTTTTACCTCATGTCCCATTTTCTTGGTTTTTCAAGACGATGAATCACTTGATTTATTTAATTTTCCCTTGAGAGATTTTCTTCCATGGTTAGCATTTTTTATTAGGGGTGCTATGTTGAAACTTGCTTGCTTGTTACATCTTATTGCATTTGACATTTCTATGTAGTATTCTTGATCATGGAGATTGCATCAACTTCGACTATGATGGCAAGTAAGAATATTTTGGGTGTGACTAGGATGACTGAGATATATTAGGGACCGTTCCTGCTTTCGTTTATGAGGGCATTTTAAACCAAGCTTCGATTTATATGGGTTCTTCATTTGAAAGGGATTGTTTCCCCTTTATGGAGATAAGAGGATATGTAGCCAATATGATGAGTGTGTCATCCCATTTAATGAGTGTTTATCATCTCTCATAGGTTACCACCTAATAAGTGCAAATTGTAGTTATTTTTGTATATACTTTTTGTTGCACTTATCGACTTTTTGTTGTTAATATCAGTTGAATAACCCCACTTTTGTTGTAAATATGTTTTATTGCATTTTTTGTACATATTGTATCAATTAATTAGTTTTGTATATGTTTTGTAGGTATTTGAGCATTGTTGGAGCAATGAGGAATAAAGCTCCAAGATGCATTTTTGGATCAATAAAGGAATAAGGCGAAATATTGGAGGCTATTGGAAGTTATGTAGGAAAGCAACAAAAGTTGTTGGACTGTCATGGATCGCTGGAAAAAAGGGAGCGTCGTCGGGAGAAACTTGAAGGCCAAATTTCCATGAAGTTTCTGCCTTGTGCCGCGTATTGGTCGCTAGACGAAATTAAGGAGAGTCGTTGGACGGTGAATTATGGTCTCCGGGCGACGATAGATATTTGTTACAGTTGAGGACGCGGCTTATTCTGGGTCAAGTGTATAGAAGCCATCATCAGGCGACGTGTTTGTGTCGCTGGGCGACGGTTGCGGATCACAATTTTGCTTATATTTTTATTTCTTGTCATTTTGGAGAGTTATGGTTTTGGGGGTGAATTTTTGTCTCCCAACTCCATGAACCTCATTTTTATAGTGAATTAGCTTAGATAACAACACTAGGGCTTGCATACGGAAGATCCAGGGTGGATTGCTCGTCGACCGACTCTGACAATCCAGAAGATTTCTGGTTTATCTCTTCTCCTCTCTATGTATTTCTCTTTTGTTGGGTTTTATATGTATATTACTCTGAACATATGTATATTTGTCGCCCATGGCGTTATATTAAACTTGCTTTACAAATCTTTGTGGATGGTTGTCTTAGATTTTTGCTCTGTGCTAGGGATTTGAGTTGTTATAGACATATACTGCTTAAATTCTTATCCAGGATAATTATATGTTAGTTTCTGAACTACGGAGATAGATTTAGAGCTGACATCTACTTGGGTATCAGAGCTTAATGCCTCTGTATGGTTGTGTTGTGTTAAGAGATCGTCAGTGCAATTACATAGTTGTCTTCTGTGTTGTTGAGGAGGTAGAGAGATCATTTCCTTGGTGATATAGTCGATCTCTCGATTTGAGTTAGAAATGACTTAGGTTATGAGTGATACGTAGTGACATTGATGAGTATTGTTAGGTTGAATGTAACTGGTCGATATATTTAAGTCTGTGATGAGTAGATTATATGAAGGCTTGATAAATTCTTCCCTAGTTTTTACTTTTGTTTACATTTATTTTCTATGGATAACATTTTCTTTACAAACCCATTTATTCCCAAACTCATTAACAAAAAATTTGTCAAACGATAACTCAATAACCAATCTTTGTGGACATGATAAATTCCTGGATAAATATTTCTAAAACTTTTTTTGCTTTCCGCTACACCGCTTTCCAACACCCATGTGAAGGAATATGTTCTAAGTTGCAGAGGATGTGAATGAGGAACAAAGAAATGCGCAGAGAGATTTGATGCAGAAAGATCAGAAAGCATTGTTCTTCATCCATCAGTGTATGGATGCGAGTATGTTTGAGAAAATCGATAATTCGATGATGGAGAAGGCTGCGTGGGATATACTGACATGGTGCTATGGTGGCGATGCATCAACAAAGAAGGTGAAACAGAAGGTGAAACTTTAGTCTCTACATAAGAAATATGAGAATCTCAACATGAAGAATAATAAGAAGGTACCTGATTACATCTCTAGAGTGATTTTGATCACAAGTGAGATGAAATATTATGGAGAAACATTTTATGAACAAGTAATCATTGAGAAGGTATTAAGATATCTTACTCCTCAATTTGATTACATTGTTGTAGCAATTGAACATTCTAATAATTTGAGCATCATGAGAATTGAAGAGGTGCAAAGTAGTCTAGAGGAACAAGAGTAGCGTCTGATTGAGAGAACTTCTAAAAGAGAGGTAGAACAGGGTTTGAAAGCTTCTTTTTCCAGGAAGACCAGAAGCAGTCTCGATCAAAAGACAAGAAAAGAAATGGTGATCCTTAGAAGTCATAAGTCTCCAACTCTTATGAGAAGAAACGTCAGAAGGGAAAAGATAAGCTTGACAAGAGAAAGGTTCAATGCTACTGTTGTAATAGGTTTGGTCACTTTACTAAGGACTATTGGTCAAACAAGGAAAGGAAGTAAGAAGAAGCAAACATATCCAGAGGAGATTCTAATGATGAACTTAGGCTATTGATGGATTCTGATTCTGATGGTAGATATTTGGTAGACTGATGGTATATGGACACTGGCTGCTTAAATCATGTAACTGGAAACAAAAAATGGCTGATTCATTTTGACTTCAGAAAGAGGACAAAGATCACATGTGTTGATGATAAGTACCTTAATGTAGAAGGTTTGAGAATTGTCAAAATCAAAGTGAATAATGGTTAAACTGTTCTGATCAAGAATGTTTGGTATGTTCCTGGCATGAAGAGAAATTTGGTGAGTGTAGGTCAGCTCATTGAGAAAGGTTTGTTAGTTATCATGAAGAACAATCTCTTGAAGTTGTATGACTGTAATCAGAAGCTGGTTATGCAATATGAGCAGGGAAACAACAAAACATTCAAGGTGAATGTGGAGATAGCTGAAATTAAATGTCTTAGTGCAGAAGGTGTTAAAGGTAACAGTGAGTTGTGGCATAAGAGATTGGGGCATGTTAACTTCATAAGCTTAGGGCATCTGAGTTCTAAGAAGATAGTACATGGCATTCTTAAAATTGTGAAGTCTGAGAAG